TGTAGCTGGGAGTTGGGGGGAGGGGGGCGCGTGAAGTGAAATACAAAATTACCGTCAGTGTCAGGACGGACGGAGGTGGTGGGCACTGGAACGGGTAATTATATGCGGGTGGTTGGCATGGTGGCTTTGAACCATGGTAACTGTGGGACCTGCACGAAGTTCTTCTGCGCGCATAGGACTGCTTTGTGTGACCTGACTGCAGCAGCCTCTGCCTTTGCCAACCAACGCTGTCCAAGTGGTTTCGGATAGCTTGACGGGGCCTGGTAAATCATTCGGAATGCCTGTCCGGCATCTACACAGTGATCTGTGTCTAACATTTGGGCTAGGATAGAGCTGCTAACCTTCTTTATTTTGCCCTTAACTAACTATGCTGGAAGGTATTTCCTTATTCTTTTGGACAAACGCCGGCTCGTGCGGCCAATATATTCTGTCCCAAAGGAGCAGGTGAAGGAGTAAATACAGATAGAAGTGGTCTGGGCTGGCAACTTGCCCTTGCCCTCTCCGTGTAGGAGGGGGCTAGTGGAGAAGAGTACATGGGTGTCAGCTGCTGGAAAGGTGCGTGATACAGTTTGATTTATGCGTCTTCTTAAAAGTTCACTTGGCGCCTACCCTGATCTTGTTCGATGACGACGAAGGTGTCATTCACATACCGGGCCCAGAATTTCGGTCTGTGGTGTTGGAAGACCAGCGACTCTAACCGTTGCAGGGATCAGGTGTTGACATTCCAAGAACATCTCAACGCCGTCTTCCCGGACATTCAGTTTACGATGGAGGAGGAAGAGAACAACCAGCTGGACTTCCTGGATGTCCTCGTATGCCGCAAAGATTGTGGTGAACTAAAAACCAAAGTGTTCAGGAAAGCGACAAATATGATGCAAGTACTGAACTTCAACAGTAACAACCCAATCAGTCACAAACGCAGTTGTGTAAGGACGCTCTATCGGCGTGTCGAAACGCACTGCAGTGAGCCGGAAAACAAAATTGCCGAACTACAATACCTCCGACGGGTCTTCAAAGCCACTGGCTACCCGCGCAACTTCGTCGACCGGTGCATACGCAAAAGGGACGAAAGGCCTAACCGCACGGACACCAAGTCTTGGCGGGCACTTCCGTATGTCAAGAACGTTTCGGAAGCTGTCGGCCGCCTTCTCGCACCACTTGGGGTTGGAGTGGCACATAGACCGGAGGCAACCATCAGCCGTCTGATCATGAAACCGAAAGACCCACTGCCACGGCTAGAAACGTCTGGAGTCGTTTATCGGATCTGGTGCAGTTGCGGACAAAGCAACTACTTCGGAGAAATCGGAAGACAGCTCCGAACGAGAATGGCCGAACACGCGGCAGCAGTGCGCAGAAATGACGCCAGCTCTCAAGTTGCGGTTCATTCGACGAGATTCGGCCACACATTCAAATTCGATGAGGCCGAAATTCTCGCAAGAGGTGACAACCGCGTGAGCCGGGAGCTACTGGAATCATGGTTTACTGGCCCCCAGTCCATCAACAAGTGCAACGATCTTCCGACTCCATACTCCGTGGTAAAACTTCGCCTAGGCGGAGTAACAAGCCATGCGGGGAGGGCAGATGTGAACACTTTTCCCAACACCGGGGTCGGTGCATCAGATGGTCGAGCAATCATCACGCCAACATCCAACGCACGTGATGAAATTGCAGAAATTATCGACTCGAATGTCGGCCATCAAGCAGTGATCACACCAAGTGCGACTATCCCGGATGAAGGAGGGAGCCGTGAATGTTCATAGGTATGCGGTAGCATGGCTACTGCATCCTATAAATACCGCAGCCCCTTGTGCAATAACCACCCGTTTCTGCTTTTTTGTCTCTGATGGTGGGTTCGAGCAGGCATCCGAAACCCCAGGCGAATAAAGCTCTTGTCCCGGCGATCGTGTCTCCTTCTTGAAGACTGACGGTAATTTTGTATCTCACTTTACCCGCCCCCAAACCCCAGCTACACAATAACGTCTACTTGTCCACATTTTCTTATTAATCATTTAAATATAAATTTAAGTGTACAGGCCTGAAGAGAATTTATCGTGCGCAAACATATTCGCCAAATAGTCGTTTTAATTCTTTAATGGGAATTTTCGCAACCCTAAAGCGTATGAATCACCGCATTCCCGACTCGGGGATATGGCCAGAAAAATAAGCTCTTTTGAAAGTGTGTGGAGGCGTGAATTGCTTTTATTATTAGAGGTTGCATGGAAAGCCTCGGAAAGGATGGAACATTATCTACGGAAAAAGGCCCTTCTGACTGACGTCCATGCCACTGCCCACAAGTTGCTTTATAAAAATATCAAAGTTTGTGCTACTGATACAGTTGTGAGTAGTACAAGTCGATGCGAAAAATACAGACAAGGAAGACTAATTTTGGCTACATATCTGCGTCGTGTTTGCAGTCCGTGCCTTTTCCTACAGTCTAGTTACTGGACCAAAAAGGCTGATCTAATAGTCTAATGGTTCGGGAAACAAAAATGCCTCGTATTTTCATGGTAAAAGTGCTTACACGCGATTCTAAAGCTAATGCAAATTGCCATAAAATAGTAAGGAGATTTTCAAGAAGAACCAGTGATACTAATTTTAATTAGAATGAAAGAAAAAAGACAGGAGGAACGGAAAGAGTCTATCGGTAGATTTGAAATGTAGCCATTTAGGTTGCTCATGCGACGATGCTGTCGGGAGAATCCTCTGTCGCCAGGACAGATCCTGGTAAAATACAGCCATAGTTAAGTTTTAAAGTACGCAATTACATAGGATTATGATGGTGAACTCAACTTGCTCAAAATAACCCCGAAATACCATCTAAAACGGATAAAATATCAGGTTGAAGAAAACTCATCCAATACATGCTGATTTAGAATAATAAAATGAGCTTTTTACGACAACTAGGAAAAAAAGGAGAGAGAAGACGGGTCCGATTTGGAGGACGATCCTCAAAATGAAACATGTATCCTCAGGAAAATAAGTGGTCTTACGAAAACAGGAAAGGAATAATCAGCGGGAATACCCTTTCTGAAAGCAAAGAATGACTTGTACAGCCTAAACTTCCTCGGTCAGTTTGTCTTTGTTTTCCATAGGCCTACCATATTTGTTCAAGCAGGACTAACAGATCAACGTTGGCTTCACCATACTTTGTCAGACTCCGTCCTTTATTCAACATTTTTTAAAAGCACAACATCATCGTTCTTTATCTTATGCACGTACAGTATAGTTTAACAGATGATCATTTTGAACATACAGATCACGCTCCAACCAATAAGACTACCGTTTGAGCAAATCCTTGGGGAATACAAACAGATAATACACATAACCATTAATCTGTTCCATTCCTTAGAGAAACAATTCCGCTTAGTCTTCCAGAGGTCTGGGGTCACTGCGCTATGGAAGTGACCATCGACCCTCAACCACGTTCGCCATTCCTACAGACAGCTACAAGGGAATCTGTTATTGACTTTCGGCATTATTCATGGCCTGGACTGTTTCACTGTCGACAACGACTTTTCACTCCCCAATAACACGCCCACTTGGCGCAGTCATTCCCTAAAACGACGCACAGGGAAAGCTAGGATTGACGAGCGCATGTTTTTCTTCAGTACAGTAGCGGTTGCAGCGTAAAACGCTTTGTCCGCTGATTTTGTCTTCTCCTCAAGTGGGGGTTCACTGAAGGCCAAACCGGACACGCATCAGGCTTCTTACTTACCAGCCACATTCACATCCGTACCTCAACAACGAGTCCTTTAAATTACACAGGAGCATGCTACTTACAATAATTAAGTACAAGCTAATATTCACTATTTGACGCATGTAGAGCTACTTATGGCGCTCAACTGTGTAATCTCCTTTTCGATGTTGTCTTATGCATCGGTGCATTTTCTTCGATATTTTTGTAACTCGTAGCGAGTTTAAAGGCATATACCTGCCCTTCCATCAGTAGAACCAGACTGAAAAGCGAAATCGAACCGAGCTGATTCTCTCATTTTGAAATTCGGGAAGACGATGCTGAGAATAGGCAACACTTTGGAGAGATGGTCTACTGGTACTAAATTCGGTAGTGTTATTTGTACAGATCCGTAGCCAGCGTGGCAGCGCACTGGGATGAGCGGGCAAGTTACCGTCGACAGTATTAATGCGGAGCAGCTTGACTACTAGGGACGACTTAAGCGGAGTAGCTTTTATCGGGGCGGAAACTTCTGGGGAAGGGAATGAGACTAACATCTTTAGCTCCTACCGACAATCAGCTGTGCCTTTATTTGCCCAAACTCGCGTTTGTCTGCGCAGTTGCCAAGAAAAAACTTAAGGACTTCATGACAAAATCGTCTCACTGTACTCAGTAAGAAACCAGCAGTACATCTCTATTCGTCGCTAGCTTCGGAGAACGCAGACAGTCAAGATTTGCAATCGCAGCTATGGCATGGGGAACGGACATTTTTTAAAGAAGACCAGGGAGAATCTCAGAGATGGAGACAAATAGAAACTCTGGCGTTGCTGAAGCCCTAAATAGTTACATATTATAGCTAGGAGAAATAGGGTCAATTGATACGTCGGCCTGAGACGTTCTGCTCGGATGTGAGCCGATTAACCGGAGTCTATTTTACATACTCGACCACCTTTGAGAACAAATTACCCGTAGTTTGCTCATACACAGCGCAATATTTATACTTTTGTGCTTCTGTTCCAATAGACAAACTCTGACTTTCAAATTTCATGATTTCAGATGTCTCACAGACATCTACTTCCGTGCTTTAGTCGTTTCTGGCAAATTCTCATACTGTAAAAAATAGGTAAAATTCGCAAAGCGGACTGCTGATGTTCAAATGTGAACCAAAATTCATCACAGGACAGGGCGTCCGCAGGCAGAGGTGCACATCCACCGGACTGACCAATCACCTTGCTAGCTCACTTCTCCTCTAACCGCCAATCAGCTAGTTCTCGTTTTATGTGCTCCTCGCCTGTCTACCACCAGCGCGTTTACCTTTGCCACCGAAATGTTTACCAACGACGGCTTCTATCTGGAGCCCAGGCAGCATGAAGAGCTCTCATTCTCCAAAATCTCGGACGAACAGGGGGGTGATTTAAGAGGCTGCCCGGTCAGAAGTGAGCAGTTGCCGCATGGGACGTACCAGTGCCTCCACAGTGATCCCACTGATTATCCACCAGCGGCCACCCAACCGACTCCCCTTCTGCCAGTCTACATGCCCACCGGAGACGCAGCGGTCCTGCCAACGTCCACGCCCTATCCCGCCGGCTGGAACTTCGACAAGGCGGTGGGAGGATCCTGCACAAATGTGCCCCGAACTTGGAACCAGGCTGGTGCGGTCTGCTCCGACTGCGTCGGAACTAGTAACCATGACTACCTGTCAACAGACATGACTCAGGGCTGCGGCTACCTTCAGGGTTTTCCGGACTATTCCCGTCATTCTACTCCCGAGCAGGTCACGTGGCCTGACCTGTCACAGGTTCCATTCCAACCATCTCCAGCACTGCTACAACAGCAGCAACAGTCAGTCGGCAATGCGGACACGGTGGGCCTCCCGCAGGGAACCAGCAAGCCCTCCACGGGCACACGAACTGGCAAAACGGCCTTCCCCTTCACCGTGGGCGGCAGTGAGCTCATGCTCTGTCCGGGGTTCCCCCAGGCCTGTGTGGGAGAATACCAGGGTGATGCGGAGACTAAGCCGCCCTTCTCGTACATCACACTCATTGCCTCAGCTATAATGTCGGCCAAGGACCAGCGAGCCACTCTGAGTGAGATTTACGCCTGGATTATGCTGCATTTTGCTTACTACCGTCGAAATATCCGTCGGTGAGTTGTGTTCATGCTGGTTTGCTTATCTTATCCGGTGCGGCACCTGTTTAGTTGTGTAACCGCAAATGTGCATATCGATAAAGTTCGCTGAGGTAAAATAAAACAGATGGTGCTACTGAGTGAAAACCAGCCAGTTTTTGCTTATCGGCCCTATCAAGAGCTGATGGTTAGTCTGGCTTGAATGTTGAGTCATCGGGTTGGAGACGGCTGTCTTCAATGCCGGAGATTTAAAAGCTGAAAGGACTGTCGGGTCATTCGAATAACCATTAGGTCTGTTTCTCCTGCAACAGGGAACTGGAGACACCTCCACTGAAATCCACCCACCAGAGTTTCAGTTATCCTGGAGAGTGTTTACGCTGAAAAGCTCGCAATCATACTCTAAACTTTATTCTTGAGTGTGGGCGCCTTTTAGTGGGCGGAATTGCTTGGTTGCAGTGGCGTTTTCCAGGAGACCCGCTTTCAAACTAATTCCTACACACTGGTCTACTTGCTTTCATGCGTTAGTACAGTGAGTGACCAATCACATGAAATGTTGACTGAAATTCTGAAATGAGTTTTCGATTAGAAAGGGCGCGGTTGTAATACCGACTATCTTGCGGCACAATTCTATAATATTTCGGACTTGGCAGGATGTCAGCTTTTGAATACACTGCTTTTCAAAAAAAAATGACTACTAAAGTAGCACGCATTTTGTAAAATAATTCTCTATGGTCTTGCAAATTCAAATATATCTCATAGAAACTACAAACAAGGCTATGCTTTCTTTTAGTAAATTAACAGAGACTCACGTCCTCTTTAGATTTTATACTCAAGGAAGGAGTATAATTAGGTTTTAAAAAGTTTTCTGATTGCCGAATAATATGGGAACTGATCATTCGTTGCATTAGCGCTTAGTGACTTCAGTCTACAAGGTGCATGCGTTCCGCGCAAAGAACATCTCATATTTTCTGTGCCATTAAAAAGATGTCATATAGAGTCCATGAAATTTTACAATGGATGCGGCCTATGTTGCACATTTCATGAGGAGCTGTGGTAAACGGCCAGGTACTAGGCTATGTGAATGGACATGCATGGTCTTAAAAAATCTCATAATTAGGAACTTTTTCAAAACCTAATTATACTCCTTCCTTGAGTATAAAATATATAGAAGACGTGAGTCTCTGTTGATTGACTGAAAGAAAGCCTAACTTTCTTTGTGGTTTCTATAAGATATATTTGAATTTGTAAGACCATCGAAAATCAATGGGAAAAATACATGCTACTTAAGTAGTCATTTTTACCGAGTACGGTTTCTACAGGAGATTGAAAAGCAGTGTATTCAAAAGCTGACATCCTGCCGAGTTCGAAATATTATAGAATTATGCCGCAAGATAGTCGGTATTACAACCGCGTCCATGTAATCCTTCCTAATCGAAAACGCATTTGGGAATTTCAGCCAACATTTCATGAGATTGGTCACTCACTGTACGTTAATACGTTACAGCAAAATGGATACATTACTAGCGAGCATCTTCGCCAGAATTTACTTGCTTACAAAGTAGGCTTCATGTTTTACTGTTCCCAACTATCTGTCAAGAAATTTCGCACCTGTCTTGAACACCAAAAAACCCTCAAATGTTCCAACAGTTATTGAGGAGGGATCGGCAATTTCAGGTCCTCGTAGAAATTCCGCCTACACCGTGTGTAGCTTTTCAGAAACTTTTCCTTAATTATCTTTTTGCAGTATTGGCAGAAAATATTGACGGCATGTACTGGCGCAGAGCAGAATCGCCTTGTATGCTTCTAAGGAAGGGCCAAAAAGCGTGGGAAGATTCCCTACAATCAAGAAGCGTTCTAAAGTCATCAGAATTCTTTCCATTGTGCAGAGTCCACCAAAAGGGTGCGATATCCCATAAAATAATTACAAAAGGTTTCATTTTATGTATTCGTTCTGGGAGCTTGATTGACTTTATGAAAGCTGTGCAGAGTGACGAAGTGATCTGGGCCATTCGGGTAAATATTTTTGTTCCAAAAGTCGTGCTAAGGGTTCTTTAAACCAAAGAGGGCCACGTTATCGCGTCTGATTTGGATGTGGATTAGATTCCGTGCCAGTCATCCCTGCAACTTCACACAAGTGGCGTTTTCAATCGAAGGGGGGGGTATTTAAAAAATGCAGCCGACTTTTCCTGTTGTTACGAACGGCCGCGTCCATTGCGTACTCCAAGGAGCGGGCGCAGCAGCAGCGACGTGCGGGGCAGACTTGCGAAGCATCTATTGCACTCATACACCACCCACCTGGACCCGGTGTCAGGAAAGATCCAAGAGCATCAGAGGCTGGATCGGGCACAATGGCCAAACAACCCGTCTACGCGTGCCACACACGCCCGGATGAAATCTCTAAAACATGGCAGTTCGACCGTGGCAAGCGATGTCATCCACCGTGCGGCCTACGGGTGCGCGCAACACCACTGACTTGCATGTGAATTAAGTTATAATGAGGGAGATTTGCACAATGTCTACGAAATTCCAGCCTCCATCACCCACCTTACACCGATGGCAGACAATGTCAAAACGACCTTAGATGAGCTCGGGCCTGGCTAAACAGTCCGATTTCTTATTATTGAGGAATGTGCTGATGCGTCGTGGCAGTGGATTCACCAGCGTTAATCCCTCCCACGCAGCGGTCGGTTTCGCGGGCTGGACACCCATTGAAGGACCAAAATGCCGTCAGAAAGCGCGACTGCCTTGAACCATGCCAATGAGGCAGAATATATGAGGACCGTTTATTCAGGAAATGAATAAGAACGAAATTTTAGGGTCCATTCTGTCTTTTTTTTATTCCTGCTCGTTTTCGCTTATTGCATATTGTTGCATAAGAGAAGGAGGGAAAGGTTTTTCATACAGCACCCGAAGAGGGCTTTGAACGACCGTATACAACCAGTTGCTGCTGCTGCCATTTAGTTAGAGCACATACAGTCAGCGAACAATCAAAATTCTGAAATGCGTACCCGACCAGAATAAATTACTCGGGTGCGGTGGTAACACTGATCAATGTGCATTACAGGGGCAGGACACTTCAGTCAAGCCAGGATGTCGATTTTTAATGATACATTTCGTCCACCGCATGCACAAACCCCACTTGACAAGAAATGACTGCTTACTTAGTACAGTGCGTGACCTATCTCATGAAATGTTGGCTGAAATTCTGAAATACGTTTTCGATTAGGAAGGATTACTTGGTCGCGGTTGTGATACTGATTATCTTAAGGCATACTAATATAACAGTTTGGACTCGGCAGGATGTCGGCTTTTAAATGCACTTCTTTTGCATCTCCTGTAGAAAGCGTGCTCGGTAAAAAATGACTACTTAATTAGCATGCATTTTTCCCACTGATTTTCGATGGTGTTGGAAATTCAAATATATTTTATAGAAACCATAAACAAAACTATGCTTTCTTTTAGCCAATCAATAGGGAATCACGTCTTCTTTATATTTTATACTTAGGGAAGGAGTATAATTAGGTTTTAAAAAAGTTTTCTAATTGCCGAAAAATTTGGAGCCTGATCATTCGTTGCATTAGCGCTTAGTGATTTCACTCTACAACCTGCATGCGTTCCGCGTAAAAATCACATATTTTTCTATGCCATTAAAGAGATATCATACAGAGTCCATAAAATTTTGCAACGAATGCGGACCATGCTGTACATTTCATGAGGAGCAGTGGTAAACGGCCAGGTACGATGCTATGTGAATGGACATTTCGAGGTCTTAAAAAGTCTCATAATTAGAAACTTTTTTAAAACCTTATTATACTCCTTCCTTAAGTATAAAATATAAAGAAGACGTGATTCTCTATTGATTGACTAAAAGAAAGCATATTTTTGTTTGTGGTTTCTATAAAATTTATTTGAATTTCCAACACCATCGAAAATCAGTGGGAAAAATGCATGCCACTGATGTAGTCATTTTTTACCCAGCACGCTTTCTACAGGAGATTGAAAAGAAGTGCATTTAAAAGCCGACATCCTGCCGAGTCCAAAATGTTATAAGAGTTTGCCTTAAGATAATCAGTATCACAGCCGCGACCAAGTAATCCTTCCGAATCGAAAACGCATTTCAGAATTTCAGCCCACATTTCATGAGATAGGTCACGCACTGTATGTATTTTCGCACTGATTACCATGCTCTTATAAAGTAAAATACATCTTATAGAAAACATATTCAAAATTTTGAAATGTGCTTCTGATTTGAAAGGTTTACTTAAGCAGGGCTGCAATATTAATTATATTGTCGCAAAAAATCGCAGTCACAACAGGATACCAGCTTTTGACTTAACCTTTTTTAGGCCATCTGCGAAAACTATACTTCGAAAATAATGATTTTTTATGTAGTATAAAATTTTCCTATTGATTCTGGAAGTCCTTATAAATGCAATTACAGTGTATAGAAAGCGTGCAACACAATGTGCTTTCTTGCTCATTTAGTAGCTAATTACGCCATTTTCAAAATTTATACTCCAATAAAGGGTGCCTTTTGGCTTTAAAAACGTTTCTTACTATGAGATTTTTTCGAAGACCGTGAAACGTCTATCCATAGAGCATCCTATCAACCTGTTTACTGATGCTACTTATACGGTAAACAACCTGGTCTACATCCATTGCACATTTTTACAAATGCTATATGACTTCTTACTAGCAACATAAAGAAATGCGTGCTATTCCTTTAATGGCAGAAGAGCGTAGGATTTTCTATACACGAAGAGTGTACAACTTATAAAGTGGAAGGGGAAGGTCAGTACACCCGTTAGTAGACTGGGGGCCAGTAAACCACAACTCAAGAAGTTCGCGACTCACGTGATTGTCACCCCCAGCGAAAATTTCGGCCTCGTTAAATTTAAGTGTGTGACTGAATTTCATAGAATGAGTCGCAGATTGAGAGCTAGCGTCATTTCTCCGCACTGCTGCCGCGTGTTCGCTATTCGCATTCGAAATAGTCCTTCAGGATCTTCGACGTGGGCGCTT